AAACTGAGATAACTAACATTTAAATGTCCAAAGTGATAGTGAATCAGACACAGCTTACTTACCACAAAATTAACAAGCAAAAGAATGACCCACAAGTATCTCACCCCCTCCAGCACACACTCTTAGTTAACAGAAACTCGTTCACCTCTTTTTTTCCAGATCCACAGTGAATACAGTATGTCTTAAATGGTCATATTTTTTTTTAACATAAATGTTGATATAGGCAAGAGAAATTAAATTATAGCATGGATGATAATCTAGTCATAGTGAGGAAAATCTCTCAAGTACTAATTTTGGAATTCCTACTAAGTTATCAAAAGAAGGAGAAAAATCCAATTCCATTTTTCTTTATGAATCCGTCTAGTCCTGTGGAAAACAATGAAATACACTATTAAGGCAGATAAGTCTGGGTGTCCCTTGGTGATAAGAGAGCCACGAGGGGAAATGAAACAGGGCAAGAAAGTGGGATCACTTTTATATCCAAATTTCAAAATGGGTGGCTAAAGGGTAACCAGTAGTTATAATGCTGAATTTCGGAAAAGTCTGTTGAGGCAATCTCCAAAGTCTGAGGGAGTTAATCTGAGCTTTGGGCATCTTATTAATAAGAAGTTATCAAGGTAGCCACCAAGCAATGTCTCTCTCCATCAGGCAATGACTTTGGAAGCTTTACCTAATACATATACACACACATAGCATATACACATTCAGTGATACTAGCAATCTAGACAAGAAGTGATTAATGATACAGTCTACAGGGTATGGAGGGCTTGGCACCTCTGTCTGGTGTGTGCTAAGGCAAATGAAATGCTGCCCATGAAGGAGACCATCTTACCTCTATACTGATCATATATATGTACATGTTCTATATCTATACAGTATTATACTATTCTAGGTACGAAGAGGTAGAAGACATATGGCTTGTACAGGTAGGTTTGAAAACTAGGTTTTGTGCATGGGCACATTTTTATCCTCCCCTACCAAGCATCCTGCCCCACCAACCTCATTACGGAGCACAGAAAGCTGTGAGGGCATCTGTCCTATTCTTGCTGACATCTTGGTACAAGTATTTATCAGTCACAGAGTGGCTAAACAATTGAGGCGGTTAGAGAGGAGACTTGGATGGGTGCGAGCAGTGTAGCCTGGACTAGACATACATGGCCTGCTGGGATGATATGAGACCATCGTGAATAATGAGCTTCCTGAGAAACACTCCACCACTGCATCCAAGACCTTTCTTTCTTCTCCCATGAAATGCCTGAAATCCAATCATAAAATACCTCTCCTTTGAGTGGTGCATGGTGCAACCCAAAGAACATGAAGGCATATTCCTGACAAGCTGCCAGTAGTTACTCCATGAGTAAGTTCTCCCATTATGGAGGTGGCAAAGCCAGGGAGAGTTCAGCCAGAGCTGTGACCTACAGCGTTCTTCATCTGCCACAAAACTATTAACTAGAATTAATTTTGTAGTAAAAATTATGATAAACATACCATAATGTAAAGTGACTTACACAGTGTTCCTTGCCTCTCCATTTTCCACACTTAATCCTCATAACACCTTTATAATATAGGTATGATTTTACTCATTTTGCAGATAAAGTAACCAAAACTCAGAGTATAAGGATCGTGCTTTAAATTACCCAGTTTATTGATGGCAAAGCCAAAAATGGGACTCAGATATCTTAATCTAATTTTATCTTCGGTAATTCTAGAAATGTGGATCAGGAGACCTATATTCTTGTCCTGGATCTGATTCCAGATCACTGCTTGGCTTGGGACCAGCCACTTACCCATTCTTTGATTCTTCCCATACTTAGCAAAAATAAGATGAAACAGATAAGCACTACATTTTTTTTCCTCCCAAATTTCCATTTGGGAGCATATATACTACTAAGAAACTGAAATCTAACCATTCACATTCTGATTTCTCTTAAGGCAATGGAGATTCTCTAATATAAATCAGACTTAAAATAAGGAGATGAAGCTCCTTTAGGAGGATGTGGGGGCATCACCAGCTAATCAAGGGTTAATTAATGACTATCAGATTTTAAACAAGCTTTAGAAATTTGGAAGTAATGTCACCAATTTACTTGAGGTAGGCAATAAACAATGTAAACATTCCATTTGTTTATTAATTATTACTTACAAGGAACTGAGCTAGACATTTAGAATCAGATATTAATGTAGGATGCCCCCAGTGAGTGAAACCAGCCAATTAAAATGAATGTAATACAATTCATGGTACAGGAATGTATGCATGAGATTTCCACGTAGGGATTTGCTAGAAATTTTATAGAAGAGTTAATGTTTGAATTGGATATAAAATTATCAGGAGTGATTTCCAATTCGATATAGGTATGGAAATAGGGACCTCTAAGCAGAGGAGATAGCACGTGCAAATGCATGGAATATATGCATGACGATAGCTTAGAACACAGATTTAGAAAACCTCAAAACGTGATGCTAGGGAAGTATGCTAGGACTTGGTTGTAAGATACCTTTTTGCTATGCCAGAGGGTCTATCTGGCAATAGAGAGCTAGCAGAGTTTAAAAAAAAAAATCCATGGAATTTATTCTTTTGTCAACTTTTGTGAAGTTTCTGAAGTCTAGGTCACGTCATCTTCTCAAAACAGAGATAGATGATACACTGCAAAGTGTCCCAACCAGCCAGTTTTGGATAATCATAGAATACAAGGATTCACAAACATGATCGTAAGCCCAATTGCTGAGTTGCTTTCAATGGTTATTTTGTCAATAAGAAAACATTGCAGATATGACCAATGAAAGAAGAAAAGAATCACTAACACACTTAAGGTAGAGAATATGAAGAAACCCTACGGAAATCTGAAAAATGAATGTATTTAAGGGACTTCAGGGAGAAGAGATGATCAGACCGATTTTTACTGACCAACTGTCAATTTGTAATACTCTTTTAAAAACTGGCAAAAACAAAGCTATGACACAAACAGAGTAGAAATGATTTGAAGACGTAATGCTTTTGTAGTGGAGTTTAAAGGCTCTCGGAAATCTTTTTTGAGAAAATTGAAGACCTCACACAAAGGCAAGGTAGCCTGTGGAATGGCCAATTCTAAGTAGAAGACTGCATTTGAGTCATTTTCCAGGGAAAGGAACTGGATTCCTCTTGGAGTCAGTCACCCTCTGTTTGGTCACCCCTTAGAACAGATGCCCTTTAAGCAGCTCTGGGACTTTCTTCAGACTCTGGCCATCGAGCCCCTGCTGAATGAGTCTACCCACTCCCTCTAGATCTCTGAAAGGATGATTAAATGAGTCATAATTTAAGAAAGAAAAAGGTGCTAATATTTCAGTTTGAGGTCACAGCTGTATGTAAAGGATATGGGGGGAGAACATTATCCATTGATTTCTTACATCCTTCCTGTGCACCAGCAATTTAAACAAGCACATCCAGTAGTCCTGGAAGGTCTTGCTCTTGGAAGGTGCCTAGATACCAGCAAAACCATGAATGCCGCAGGGGACATCAAGGGGGCAAGAACACAAAAGTGAGAGATTCAGGAGAGCTGGGATACAGACTCTGGCATCACCACATGGTGTCCCCATCCTGGGTAAGAAGAAACAAGAATGATTTTACTGACCTGGGGTTCACTCTCTAGCTGCAGCCTAGCCCCTCGCCAACCCTTTCCATGCTAATTTCTTGAAAGGTTTTCTACTCTCCTCTGTTCAGTTTCTTCACCTTCCATTCACAACTCAGTGCACTTTGCCAGAAGTGCTTTTATCTGGGTACCAATGACCTTCAGATTGCCAAAGCCAATGACCTTTTTAATTTCTTTGTCTTACTAGACCTTTTTGTATTACTTGATATTACACCTTTCTCCTCTTGTTTCATGATAACAGCTACTATTATTGAGTGTTAAATATTTGCCAGGCACTGTGCTAAACATGCATTTAACACTGTACTTTTTTTTTTCTGAAATGCAAATGTGACATATTCCCTGGTGAACAGACTAGGGCATATGTTATATAGCAGAAGCTGAGTGGAGAGTCCTCTTGGGGCTCTGTGGACCTAGGGATACCCTTTTCAAGATTCCAAACCCCCTCTGCTGGTGGTGCTGAGTCTCTGATCTTGTGCTCTGGCTGGATGGCTTTAGGAAGGGGCCAGAGCCCCCAGATAAAGTCTTCAGAGAAGCAGGGACTAACTCATCAGGCAATAACAGATGCTGGGACATGCCTGTGACCTGACGTTTATTCAGTCACTGCCTGTCTCTCATTCCCATTCTGCTTCTCTCCCTAATAATTTTTGCTCTGAACTTTACGTGGTCACAAGGAGAAAAGGTCTCTTCTGTGTGGGAAGCTAAGACAGGTAATACTGTAAGGCAACCACGTTACACACAACTTCAGTTTTATTCTAAGGAGTAAGGGCCATACAGATAATCCAGCGGTGAGTCAGTAAAGGCCAAAGAAAACAGAAATGGAGTGTGTTTGCTGATACTGATGGGCCACCAATAAAAGAGAAGCTAATGCTTGATGCAGCGTGAATGCCAATGATGATATTCTTTGGTCTGGCACATACGCACAGCCAGAGCCCTAAAGCTCTGAGGTCATACGTCAACCACACTTGGTTCCCCACATGCTCTGGAGTCTCCCTGTGTCTTTAAAGGCAGTTTCTTTATAGTTTTCATTAGCATGGAAAATAAGTTGCCAGTTCTCTCTCTCTTGGCCTCTAGTGATATTTACTGGAAATACCTTCAAGTCCAACTGAAATAAAATTTCCTCAGATTTATTTCTATTTAAAGACATTACTTATGTAGAAGGGTAGTATATTTCCTCTCTCCTTTCATGTATTAATGTCACCACATTATTTCCCCCCCGCAAATCTTTTTTCTTAATAGCAGAAAAATAATGAACTCAGGGAAAATTCACTTTACATAAAATTCTATGAGTCTTTTCGCTGGGCCTGGAGATATGAATTCTGCAAGATTGCACTCAAGTCAGCGGTCCTGCGCAGTACACAGGTGGGTGCAATCAAGGCAGATCTCAGGACAGTCAACATGGATGGCAGTAAAAGTTTCCTTTGTTTGATTATCTCTGCTGTGCTATGACTTGGTCTACAAACTTTGTGGAACTTACCCCATTGGATCTTCATAACAACTCTTCTAGGTCAGTATTAATCAGTCCTATGTTACAGATACAAGTTGAGCTAAAAGAAATAGAAAATGTCCAAGACCACACCATTGCTCCGAGGTAGAATCAGTGTTTACACTCATGTCTGTCTTACTCTGAAGCTCTTGTTCCCTCTTCTGTGCCATGCTGTCTCTGCCTTTACATTTCCACAGCTTGTATCTATGTTATTTATGAGTTCATGGTTTCAGCTTAGGTGGAGGGAGGAGTGAGCTAGACACACAAAAAATAATTACCTGGGCAGAACGCATATGCATATGCTATTCTGCATGGTAAAAAAAAACATCAGATGAGTCGTACTTAGAGAAACAAGAGCTTTGAGAACTGGAGTGGTCAGGAGTGAAGGTTGAGCAGAACCTGTTGAACACTGATACCACCCTTGTGACCAGAATATGATTATTAAATAAATGAATTAAAGAATGAAGGATACTGCTTATGATCATGGAGTGTTTATCATACCCTGAGCTTTGTAAGAAAGATTGCAGGTTAACTCTCAAATCTGAATGAAAAATATGTCAACAGTGTGAGAAATGATAACCCTGGGATTATTTAGTTCTTAAACTTGGCTGCATTTTGGAATTACCTAGGGTGTTCCAAACAACGTGCTTAGGCTACAACCTGTACCAATTATTTGAGAATCTCTAGGAATGGGATCCAAGCATCAGTAATTTCTTAAACACTCCAGCTGACTGCAGTGTGAAGTCAGATTCCAGTGCAACATGATAAGAAATGTCCTATGATAAGGGCCATAACCTGACATAGGGTAGAGATTTACTCTGAGGCAGTAGAGACCTGGAAACTGAACAATTTGGACAAAGTTGATTCTTCCCAAAATATAATCTGTAATGTATGTCACAATTAGTGACTTAGACATACTAGTAAAACTTGAATATCAGAAACACAGGGCCCATTGTCAAATACATTTATAAAATGCTGACTAACCACACAGGTGTTTGTTGTTGTTATTGTTTTAACTTCAGGCCTTCTAAGAGCCTTGACGGTTCTAGCGTGTGTTATATCTATCAAGTATGTAGCACTTTCTAACTTTATGTCCCTGTTTGCTTTGTTTTACCTTTGGTGGAACTAGTGTTTCATGGAGCCCCATTCTGGGAACAACAACTACAAAGTGTCGACAAAACTAAAAACAGCTTATTTTGAAGTCTAGGCAGCCTATGTGTTTCTTTAAATACATTTGATCCACACAACAATATTATGATTAGGAATTAGCATATGCTTTTGTTGGATGAGGAAATGGATGCTCTAATACTTACCTTGGTTAAGTTCACACAATAAATAACAGAACAGGAATTCAAATCAGGTCTATGATTGTTAATTCAACAATGTATCTTTGTATTCACAGCCTCTCAGAGTTTCTCAGTAAAGTCCCTTCCCCTCCAGGTTGAGCCTAAATAGCAGTTACCATACTGCGGCAATACTGACCACTGCTAAGTACTTCGCGCTCTTAAACAGTTCAAGGTTGAGGTTAAATTGTCCTATTAAAATCTCTCTGACTTCTGTTTATCTGACTAAATACACTTTGTCTGCACTGCAGACTTTGTGTGCATTGCAGAATCATTGCTCACGATCGCCTTTCTGCCCCTCCATGACTTCCTTAAGAAACGCCCTATCTAACCAATGCCTCACGTTGCTTACAGCCCTTTGCCTGCTTCCCAGAGTTCTTAAATTCTTAGGTAGTGTCCTCAAACAAACAAGCAGTGGTGACACCAGCTCATTTTCCTCTTTTAATAATTGGATGACTGTGCAGGGTGCTACAGGAATATGCATGAGAGCTTAATTATATTCTCTGCCTCGCTGAGTGAATGTTGGCTAGCAAGAAGCCTCTGCCTATGGTGTAAAACATCACAGAGATCAGATTGGTTCCCCTTGCACTTGCACGTGGCTGATAATCAGCTCTCTCCATACACAGGCAGACAGATGAAGCCAGTTTTATCTGAAAAGGTGTCAGTGTCCTGTTAGCAGCTGCATGTCTTGACTTTACACTCATAGCAAACTCAGTAGCAGGCTGAGCAACCCAGATCTTCTCTTGATCTGGACGAGTCAGTGATGCAGCCTCGAAAATACAAAACCACTTCATTTTTCTGGAATCACCAGAAAATCATCTAGTACTATGAGCAGCACCCTCAGGTTATCAGAACACGCTTTTCAGTGCCCAAAAGTTAAGCACATTCAACGTTTTCAGATATGAAAAATCTCTCAACATGAACAAAATGCTTTCTTAATACAACATTCATATATTGGGCACCAACTATGTCCCAAGCACTACGACAATTATTAGGGACAAAAATAAGGATAGAAAGTTACATGTTATGTGAAGGCTCAAGAGCATTTCCTTTAGGTAAAGCACAGATTTTAATTTGGGGGCTCATTGCTACCTCCACTCTGACTATTCAGAAGAACTTTTTCTTCTCTCTCAGCTGTGGTCTGTATAGATGAGGCTGTTGGTTAAGTGACCTTGAGAAAAGAGGGTGTTTTTGTAGATACACTGCCATTCATTCCATAAACATTCCCCACATATCCCCATATCCGGCCATCTGCATACAGCACACTTCAGTCACTCTCTGTACTATGTTAAATCAAAGTGCTTTCCCTTTTCGCAGGAGAGACGCAAGCTAATCAAATCATGGATAGAGGCACATACAAAGGACAGTGGGATCATCAGGACTATATATCTACATTCAAATCGTCATATGTTTTTGAAATTTCCAGGTATTCAGCAGCGGCAGAACTGTACGTGGCAACCAGAATCAAATTAGCAGAGGTCCACAGAAGCCCTGATCTGCTCCTACTTAAATGAGTGCGGCTGCTTCTATCACAGAAGGAACTGACATCATTTCTATTCACTTGTACGCTCACCAGCCTCCTTAATACAGCTTCAGGAACTAAATGTTTCCCAGTAGACAATGCAGGTGTCACTTCTGAGAAATGCACACACTCTGTTAACAGTAAAGGTGGCAGCCGATTCTGGGACTATAATTGGAGCTTTTCTTCTCCATTCCAGTTGCATGATTTCTCTTTCTCTTCAGTGACTTCCTTAACTTTATAAATGAATACAAAGGCTCAACCACATGCTACAGCAAAGATATTTGCTTAATCCCTTTAGCCATCTGTAAAGCAAGAGTAATACACTCTAGCAACGCATCAGTAGTGAGTGTGCGTGCATGTGTGTGCACGTCTGCATGCATGTCTGTGTGCATTAGGGCATAATGCAGATAATATACCCAATGAAGCCCACCGGAAAGCACATTGTGTTTTTTTAAAGATTTAAATAATACAGGGCAAAGCCATGGCTTGTGAGTCTAAAACAACCCTCTAAATTGGTTATTTTCATTGCTCACTTGCACATGAATGTGATCATTGATCATTAATTTTGACTGTAGATGAACAATACTTAAGAAAGTCTACTGTATGCAATTCTAGAATTTGCTTTAGCCAAGTTCAAATTCTATGTGGTGTTAACTCATTTGTTTTTCATTAAGTTCTTTATTAACAGCCAAATCCCTTGATTATTACACTTCTCTGAACTTTCTTGTTAATCTTACTTACGAGTCACATAATGCCTGAATACATTTCTCTGAAATGTTGCTGAGATAAAAGAGCTGACACTGACAGTAATTAACTTCTAAATAAATATTAAAATGAGAGGGCATCGTAAATACCCCCAGTGCAACGGATCCATGCCTAAGTCCCTAGGACGTTAGGCAGCTGGTCTGTCACCATTTGAGCTGAGGGCAGCTGTCACTGATTTTGGAAGATATTCCTCTATACTATTTAGCCTAATTAGCCTCTTTTAATTCTCAGTTTTAGCTAAAATACATATTTTATACTTTGCTTTTCACAGATTTGACCTCTTAGCCGTATGTTCTCCTGACCAATTCTCCACAGCTTACTTGCATATAAAAGTTGTCCCTAGGTAGGGACCAAGTTCAATGGTTTCCCCTACCCACCCACCGCCTACCCAATTGTGATGGATCCTTGCACACAGCTGGCTGGAAGCCCAAATGGTGTGTCCCATGTCTGTTGAATTGAGGTACATTTGCTCATAAGATATTCATCTCAAATCTGTCAAACAAAAACTGTGAAAGTGTTGTGTGATTGGCTGAGGCTGTCTGTTCCATAAAAAAGCAGAAATCACGCCAGCACAAGTGTGATGTCTGGCATCCAACCGACAGGGTTGAAATACTAGTTGTGACCCAGATTAGAAGTGTAACTTTGGGCAGGTTACTTATGTTCTCTAAATCTTAATTTCCTCACGTGTGAAATGTAGAAAACCAGTATCCTCTGTTAAAGGTGTTGTAACTAACATCTTTGTATTAAATGTACATCTATGTATTAAAGAGCATACTACAAGTAAAGTGCTTCCCCAAGGGCTTGGCAAGGACTCAACCATCGACAGCTATTGCCGACCTTTATTAGGAGTTCAGATGAGAGCGTTCTGGGCTGCGGCACCTTAGAGCTTCCCGTAAAAGGTAGATACAGAGCAGTATGGTAACAGCGGTAAATGTGATGAGGCTTAAGCTGTATTCTCAAGGGAGTCTTGTCTTTTAGTTTCAATGTCTTGTCTTTTAGGCACAACGTGTTTCTCTCTGATCCTCCTCTCTAACCTGCACCCATCTTCAGGAATACAGGTGTGACAGGTGGGTGGCCAGCACCCTGCCTGCTGTTTTGTTACTCACATGGCAGTGGGTGGCTCCAGAAGGTATATGCCAAAATCCTGTTTAAAAAGACTGAGCATATATGAGGGCAAAAGTACTGAGGTTAAAGGGAGCTAAAATATAGAATATGAAGTCACAGAGTAACAGGGCAGATGGGGTGAACTGCACCTTGGATGGATTGTGGAAATGACTGTGTATGTTCCTAGCTACAGGTTACAGCGTGTGGGTCAAGAGGACCAAAGGGGTAAACTACACTTTGCCACTCGGCATCTTTGCACCTCCCTGACCCCAAAGGTCAGACAGTTTAAGAGTGATCTGCTTGCAGAGTTTAACCAGTTTAAATAGTGTGTGTGTATGTGGTTTATTTGAAGATTTAGATGCTGAAAACCAGGCAAATAGAATTAGCAAGAGGTCATAGAGCCTCCTCTGTCTTGTTTAATAATAGCTTAATTAATCCCAACTAGGAAATGCGGGACCAGGTAAATACATAGACTGATGGGTGTGCTGGCCATGGAGCATGGAGGGGGAAGGGGCATATTTCCATGGGGAGAGTTCTGTGCTGGCTGTAAGAACACCCCAGCTTCAGTCCTGGCACTGCCACTCACCACTGTATAATATCGAACCGTTGTTCTCAAGGGTAGTCCTGGACCAGAAGCATCAGCAGCTAACAAGCTGGAATTCGTTGGAAATACACATTTCCGGGGCTCCCCCTAGACCTACTGATGAAGGTGCTTTGGAGCAGGGATCCAACAGACTGAACAGACCTTGCAGACGATTCTGATGCACGGTGAAGGCTGAAAACCACACTAAGGTGATGAGCGCCGGTGAGTTTGTAGATACTCTTTGTTTGCGTTCACGGGTCATTGTATGCTCTGCTAACGTGAAATCAAGGAGCTACTCAGAGTCAGAATTTTCCAGCCACGGATCAAAACAGGTCTTTTCATCTATTTCCTGGAATTGATGCTCTTCTTCTGTATCTAGAGCTCCACAAAGGACTGACCGGTAATCAGGGCTCAGAAACAAAGGGAGTATGCGGAAAACACATTCTCAGGTTTTGGAGAACATCTTGTTCCTTCCTTTGGAGGGGATCATGACACCAATTTTTGGAAACTCTGGTTAGCTAGAGTGAGGGACTGCCACATATAAGGTAGAAAGGCCTTCTTCCTTTCTTCTGCCTTTCAGGGAGCTATCAAGGAGCTATTTTTCAAAGCTCGCTGTGTCGATCCAGCAAGCAGTGGTACTAAGGCTGATACTTCCCCCATTCAGATCACACATCTATATTCTAGTAACTGGGCATTAAATTAATCTAGATTATAGTCTAAAGACTGAAATAGTACAAACAAGATTTTTTTTAAGTTAACACTTACAGAGTTTGAACCCTTTGTATGTTGCAAGAGAAAATACTCCTTTAGACATGCAGTTAACAGAGCTTGGAAGATCCTGCTGGGAGGATGGAGACAAACTGAGGTGTCCCACAACTCTGGCTGTGTCCCCTTTGGTGCAGTGTGCCTGTCAGGTTTGGGGAGACCAACTCCTTCCAGAAGGAAGTAAGACTGACACTGTTCAATTGCAGAGCTCTCTCTGTTCCTGCCTGGGATTTATTTCTCCATCCATCTTCTAATCTTCTTGTCTATATTCCAGTAGTTTCCCTGTCCTAACCTGCAATTTTTATGTGCAACCATTTATAATTTTTCACTTTCCTACCAACATTTTTCTTTCCTTGGTGTCATAATCCTCCCTGTTTCATTTAATCTTATTTATAATTTATTCTGTAAATGTGCTACTTGTGATAACCTTATATGAGATGTCATTTCTGTGATGATACTAAGGGCATCCATTCAGGAAATATTATTTCTACTTCACTTTGACACCTCCCAGATTATTCCTACATAATGTTGATTAATTTGTAACCAGCACTTTTAAAAGCAGCATTCCATCTCTAGCATGAAAAAATGCAACTTTAAATTATTTTGCACCGACACACACTCTTAAAGAATTAAATATGCTTAAAGCCAAAAGATGGAGGGGCCTTTCCAATGAAGTAGAAGGCCTGCATTCTGACATTGCCCTGCTGCCTGATGGGGGCGCCTTGGTGCCAGGAGGGTCCAGATGCAAACCCAGCAGAGTGTCAAAGTCAAAGTAATTCAAGCAGCCCAGGTTTCTGCCTCGTGCTGGCGATGCAGTGTGTATTCACTGGGAGATGAAGTGCCCTCTCATCCATCTCCAGTCCAGGAACTGGTGCACTCCTGAGCAGAGGTTTAAAGCCCTTGGTTCACCTGTCTGTGATGAGTCGGTACAGTGGGTTCATGAAACAAGGGGACCTGACCAGTCTTGCATTTTCATTTTGCACTGGGCCCTACAAATTATATAGCAGACCCTGCTGGGAGGGTGACTGATGAATTCTGATTGCTTAGATCTAATCTTTGCACAGAGTAATTACTCAATAAGTATTGCTGAATGGATGTATACCAGAGTCAGGCCATAACCTTTTCCTGCTTCAGATCTCCTGAGTCACAGCTGTGGCTAGCAATGGAAAAGAGACAGCTTTGACGCAGATATGAGATTTTAGTTTTAAACTCAATTAGACTGACTCTTTTAATAACTAAGTGGCAAGATAGTTATGGAATCTGCCCCAAATATTATTAGGATATGTATTTGCCAGTAGGAAGGCAATATTTTCATAGCATAGTTGGGAACAGCTATTGGAGAAAAGTAAGATTGTTTCATGTCCACACTTCCGCTATTGAGTTTATGAGCTGGTTAAAAACCATGATCTTCATGGTGGGTTAGTTATGCCTGGGAAGACAGCAAAACTAGAGCCCAAATAACTTGGAATCAGAATCTGAGAGAAAGTTAAGAGAATGAGGACGTGGGCAAACTGAAAAGTGAGTTAGAAAGTTAGAGAAGATGAGAAGAAAGCTATCATGGGAGACTTTGGAACAAAGGAGATGGCAGCTTGAACGCCTGTGTGTAGGTCAGGATCCTGTGGGGACACTCTTTAAACAGATTCTGACATTTCCAAAATACAGAGCATTAAACTTCCAGCTGGCAGCCAGGCTAGGACACTAACTTAGACCAAAAATTGGGAAAAGTAGTGATGTTCCACTTTTCTCCAATAAGCCTTTTCAGTGCTTGGGACTGAGTGTATTGGAATCTAAGAGTTACGGTAGAGAGTGAGTGATTCTGGCAAAGTTGTGTTTCATATTTGGGGACTATAATATAGTGTCAAGATTGTCATCAAAGATGGCTGCCTTTCATCCATGGCAGGGATGGCAGTATGAAAAAGCAACAAAATTGGCAACCCCTGGGTCAATGGGCATAAGCCCTTGCATCTCAAGCTGTATAGCATGGGAATCTGTTTCACTGTGCTTTGCTTAGTATAGAGGCTAATATTAACTTGTGCTTGACTCTGGATTGTCTTCACAGAAGTTTTTAGGGATCTCGATATCATCTTCACTGGCTGCCCCATTTTAAGATGAATTAAGATGAACACTCACTGCTTGTGGCTTAATCCCTATAGTATCTACTGAGGACCCCATTATTGCTATTATTTTCCACTAGCAGTACTCAGGTTGGCTATTACTCTGAGTTTCACAGCATCCTACTCTCACAGTCATGAGCGAGTCCCACAGCCTAGCCCATTCCTTCTGGCTACTGAAGTGAAATAGGTCTAAAATCAGACTAAGGAATAGTAAGACCAAGAAAGAAGGTCTGCTGCCATTCTAAGGATTCTACTAGATTGATATGTAAATTAGTCAGAAACACCATGAACTCATGAACCTCACCCCTCCAGGGTCAACTACCAATGAGGCCTGAGTGCCATGAAGTCTGAACCTAAAACAGTTCTATCCTGACAGTCAAAATTATTTATGTCCACTGTTTGAATTCCTCATAATAAAGGCTCTATTTATATCCAAGCTAGCCTCCCTATTTTAAAATCTCAACAGCTTCTAATATACTTTACATTTAAGTTAACATTTACATCATAGTTTATATTTACAACACAGAAAATTTACCATTTTTTTCTTCTCTTGAGGTAAGATTTCAATTTAACCATGTACACAATAGAGAATGCCATTTAAAATATGTCAACTAGGGGGAGAAAAACCAATTTAAAAGATCAGTACAACTAAAGAATCAAAATAAAAATAATCTTTGTGCAAAAAACAATTATAAAAATTAAAAGGTAATGTAATTCTCATAAATACTAAAAATTGTTTAACTTATTAATTCAAAATAATTTTTAGTGACAAACATCTCAGTAGAAAATTGGATAGAATTTCAAACATACCATGTCAATTTCAACAGAAATCTCAAAAGGATTTTTATGGGATTTGACAATGTGTTCTAAAATAATCTAAAAGAGAAAATGCATATGAATAATCAAAATTTAAAGAAGAACAATATATCTAAGCCTTTCCAGATGCCAAAACATATCATAATCCATAATAATTATTTTTGAATAGTTCTAGTATAGAAGTAGATCAACACAGAAATGGAATAAGAAGTCCAGCAACAGACTCATATGAATATTTTTTAAAATGTATCCCTGAATATATGTTATATAAACACAACAGAAGAGCAAAGAAAAGCTGGGAAAATCTTAAGAGGGCTTTTACGTTTATCAAAATGGTTAATACGTTTATAGGAAATGCTTACATTTCTCGAGGAATAAAGAGTGAATTACACACAGGGAGCTCAGCTTGGTGTTCTGTGATGACCTAGACGGGTGGGGTGTGTACATAGAGCTGATTCACTTCATTGTACAGCATACACTAACACAACATTGTAAAGCAGTTATACTCCAATAAAAACAATTATGGAATACAATTTTTGCCCAACACGTGAACAACGGAATTGATACTATGAAATGAAATAAATGTCAATTTATCTGACATTAATTTGTTAAGTAAAATAAACATGTCAATTTCATATAATATAAAGAGGAGTGTAAATTGATACAACTTTTCTGGAAATTAACTTGGCAATATATAGCAAAGGATTTAATACACTTTTAATACACTACACTTTGACCCTATAATTTTGCTCATAGGAAAATATCTTAAATAATGATCATAAATACAGATAAAGTATTGTGTATAAAGATTTTTTTTTCCTGAATAAAAGACTCAAAATTTCAATTTTATGAGATTGGTGAGGATATAGGGAATTTAGTCATCTTGTATTAAGATGACTGTATATTAACCAGCAGTTTTTCTGGAAATAAATTGGGGCCAAAATATATGAAAGTCTTTAATGTTGTACAAACTCTGTGACTTAGCAATTCCACTCCTAGGAATTTACCCCGAAAGTATAATAGCAAAAAATTATTTTAAATAAGTATGAATCGTGATTCCAGTTTTAACTTTATATAGGGGTCAGTACACTTTTGTTTTAAAACGCCAGAGAATAAAGACCTCAGGCTTTATAGGCCATACAGTCTTTTTTTTTTTAACATCTTTATTGGAGTATAATTGCTTTATGATGGTGTGTTAGTTTCTGCTATATAACAAAGTGAATCAGCTATATGTATACATATGTTCCCATATCTCCTCCCTCTTCGTCTCCCTCCCACCCTTCCTATCCCACCCCTCTAGGTGGACACAAAGCACCAAGCTGATCTCCCTGTGCTGTGTCTGCTTCCCACCAGCTATCTATTTTACGTTTGATAGTGTATATATGTCCATGCCACTCTCTCACTTCGACCCAGCTTACCCTTCCCCCTCCCCATGTCCTCAAGTCCATTCTCTATGTCTGCGTCTTTATTCCTGTCCTGCCCCTAGGTTCTTCAGAACCTTTTTTTTTAAATTCCATATATATGTGT